TTTTCTTACTTAGATTGGGAATTTGTCTTCATCTTTTGCTGGAGCCTCACATGGCTGTTGAGCTGATGTGTCTGGCATCAGCAATGCCTTGCTTTGTCACATGGTAAGGCTCTGTTTCAAGTTCTTCATGAGTAGCAGGTAGTCCATACACATCACTTGTGCTGCTAGAGCTTACGAGGGGGAAATCGATACACATATGGGACTGTTGGGGAAGTTGTAGTGGACCAGCCAAACAGCATTAAAAGGTTTGGACTTCCACTCTCTCTGGAGAAAGTGTGAGTAGTCTCCCACAATGGAGCGGATTATGAACTAAAATCGCAGCTGGGTTCAGGAGCTGAGAGGTACATTTGCCGGTCCTTGTTCTCTCTTTGGTCTTCTGCATACTGTCAAGATGCCGCCTGAGCAGTTTTCAGCCTAGATCTCTATGATACTTAATTTGGGAGTAGTTCCTACAGTGAGAGTGACTGAACACTGGAGAAGGTTGACCAGGGAAGTTGTAGAGTCTCCATCCTTGGAGATATTCAAAACCTGACTGAACAAGATCCTGAGCAACTTGTTGTAGCTGACCCTGCTCTGACCATAGTGGGTAGACCAGGCAATCTCCAGAGGTCCTGACCAATCTTAGCTGCTCTGTGTTTCTATGAAGTACTAATGGTCCCCGGCAGCAGTTATTCCTACACTAGCTCCAAGACTATCTAATGGTTCCTCCATGCAGGGGGTAGTAGTCTTATTTAAGGTCCTGCTGTCTCTCTGTGTGCTGTATAAAATAGAATGTCCCAAGAGACACACTGAAGTTAAATATCAGATTTCAATCCCTGGTAAAGCTAAAGTTTCATGGACTTTATTTCAACAGAAATCTAATTTACAGACTGTTTGTGGAGCTCTCAGGGTATCATTATCAGGACTTAATCACGAGAGATGGTGTTCAAATACAGAGCCAAAAAGGACTGCCTATCCCTGAAAAAGTGCAACTCGGGCATAAAACAGAAAGATGAAGGAGAAATGCATAGATAAAACAAGTAGATATAGTTAGTAGCATTAGGAATCTAACCACTATCAAATTTTTGTAGGTGTTTTGGGAATTTAGGGAACATTTCCTGAGCATGGGGGAAGGAGACCAGCACGGAAGACTGCACAGTAGTTCTTGTCTGATAATGTAAAAAATGAGTGTTGGTGGCCATCCAATAATTTAACTGCACAGAAGGGAATGATTGGATAAGTATAAGAAGGTCAGTGCAAGAATAAGGCAAATACCTAGGGCAAAGAAGCAAACAATGTTGGATATGAAATTAATAGGAAATTAATGCAAAATATGGCTTTATGTCAAAGGGAGGGAAATGCATAGATGTAGAGGGAAATGGTGCTCGTAGCTGAGGAGGGGTGATAGTATCCAGAAATGAGAGATTGAGGCAGCTGTGAAAAGGAGAGAAGAGATGCAGAAAAACATTTTCTTCTTCAGTTTAAAAACTGATGTTGTAGTCATACTTCCAGAAATATTCTTCCAGCAGCTGGAGGTCACTGTCCCAGCTTGCCAGATTTGAGTCCATAGCCACATCCCTGTGGGCCATGCAGAGCTCCCATGTCAGGAAAGGCAGAGATGGTTGAGCCAGGAGCTGGTCCCTGCAGACATGTGGCATGTGGCTTTCAATGTTTGTCTTTTCAGGCCAAAATAAGGCAAATATTTTACTAGTTAAATGTCATAGCAGCTAACTTACTTTCTTATTTATATTGCTAAGCATTGGCTATAAAATATCCCACACTCATGCCACTTAACCAGCAGATGGACAAGAGGTCAAGCATATGGAAAGGATACTTGAGATGAATGTGAGCACCTTCTTAAAGAAAAGCACTGGGTTTATTCATTTTATTAGGTGAGTTGTTTAAAAAGAACCAAGCAGGTAGACATATTTTTCATATATGTAAAATATGTTCTGTGTCAAAGATTATTGTTGGTGTATAAGTTTGGAGCTGGCTCCCAGCCAAAGTGCCAAGACCCAGCGAAAAAGCCTTCTCCCCAGAGAGGGAAGAAAAAAACCCGAATAGCCAAAGCTATAGCAAAAATATACATTTATAATTATATATACAATTTGAAAATATTGTACACATGATAGGGAGCTCCCAAGGGGGAAAAAAGGGAAAAGGGAAGGGGAAACAGGGATAAAAAAACCCCACTAAAACAAATATCCTCCAAATATACACCATTACTACAGAGCTAGCGAATAAATACAAAAAACAAATTAAATACTTCCCTGAACAAGACAGAACTGTGCGAAGCACCAACCAACTCCCTCACACCCCCCGAAGGGACCGGAGATAACGGCAGGTCTGAGCAGCAGGCCCTGGTCTATACAAGCAAAGACCGTCTGCAGAGAGACCTGTCGCCTTCAGCCACCAGAAGAGAAAAGAGAGCGAGCTCTCTTATCTGCACCTTTTTATATGTTGTGTTACCGAAAGGGATGATATGAAATACTTCCTTAGATTTCTGACCCCATTGCTAAGGAAGGCCTAAAAAATCCAAAAAACCAACCCACTACAGTTGGCCATGTTTGTATTAATATTACGGTGCTACCTGAAATAATAAGTTCCTGAGATATTAGTGTTGATGACAGGATTAATAGGGTCACTGTATGAAGTGATCTGTAGGGCTGTCCTTTTCTGAACTTATTGCAGAAGCTGTTGCCTGTGTCCTGTGCTGCTCTATTGCTGTTCTCATTGTATAGATGAACAGACTGTGTTTGCCTGAGGGCAGATGAGGAATGGAGCAGCTGGGAGAGACACAACTGTTCTCTGCTTCCCTGATCCAGAGTTTTGATGCTGAGCCCATGCATTGCTTCGGCAGCAGCATGTCCCAAAACCCAGCTTTAGAGGCATCTGAACTGTTATCCCGTTAATCACAGTCCTTGCATTCCTTCCCATCTTTTCATTGTATTAATGTTTTCCAGTAAGACCTATGGCACTTGCTGGCTCCTGCACATGGTGGCGAGCACATATATCAAGCTTTGTTCAGTTTTGCATCAACTAGATCTCACCATTATCCTTGTTTGGACAGGATGTTGTGTCATCCAGTGCTCCCCAGGCAGCACATGTGTGATGGCAGTGATGTGGGTTTACATTTTCACAGCGTCTGTGATGAACTTCAGTAAAAGTGTTGATGCTGTATGAGGCTATTATGGCAACTGCCAGAAGCTGCAGGCTGGTAGGGGCACTGGGGAACGCTGGCAGAAATCTGTGATCTCCAGAGTAATGTGAAGCCCCTCACCTTAGGGAAGCCAATTTATGGTGTCCTTACTCATTCAGCTCCAAACACCTGGACAGGAGCAGTTGTGTGAGGTGCCTGTGCCTATCAAGCATTTGCAGGTGCTCACTGGCCAGGGACTGCGGGTTCAGCCCCCTGCCCAGAAGGGCCCATCTTGAGGAGCCCCTGGTGTAGGGATGCTGGGCCCACAGGGCTATGTCCTGGCTGTCCTGGGTGAGGATATGGTGAGATGGGGGCACATCCACTGCCCTTGCCTATAAATCCATCTGACTGCAACATGCTGTTTCTACTGGGCAGGGCCTCATGAAGCCAGGGTTTCCACCTACCTTTGGGCTACAGAGCATGTCTCTCAGGCTTAGCAGAGCCCACAGCGCTGCCCTTGCCACCTTGGAGACTGTACTGTTCCGTGAAAAGTATCTTCTGCTGGAACATTATGCTATTGATCTCTAAAGGAAACTCACAACTTTTATTTAAGAAAATATATTTTAGAGCTTTTCTCTACAACTTAAAAAACCCCCAAACTAAACAAAAGCAAAACTAACAGAAAATAATTAAAAAGAGTTAGAAAATGCTAGCTCGAGAACGACACTGGAGAAGATGGATAAGGCCAGTTCACTGAAACCAGAGTCAGCACTGTGCTCTCCAGGCCTGTAAAGTCTAATGAGATTTTTTTTTCACCTTTAACACTTAGAGAAGAAGATGAGTAAACAAGGGAATACACAGATTTCTCTTAGTTTAAGCTTAATTAGAACCTCTCCCATTCTTATTTTATCGATTTCACGGTTCGTTATGTTTTAAAAGTCTTCCAAAATTATCTCCATCTCTGTCCAGGATTTAATGTGTTTTTCTGAACAATCTTGCACATTTTTACAACACCTTTTGAAGATGTCTTTATCGTAAAAGACTAAGGTATGACAGTTGACAAAGTCTTAATGGGGAAATGAAAGCTGAAAATTTCAGATTCTCACTAGGGTGTGGATTGCAACAGAATTCTACTCTATAAAGCATTAATTCTCTATGATAATGCTTTTGATCCTTCAAACACTCTGTGCATATGTGCAGCATCTTGGCTTACACAAAGGTAAATGGGCAGGAATGAGTTTGAAGTTCAAGGTAATAATTTTCTGTAGTGGCATTTGGCTCGATTATCTTCATCAATAATGAAATACTTTTAAGGTATGTCAGGAATGATGGATTTCCATAGGGGACCAAAATCTACCATAAACTTTACTTCAGGTACTAGGTTCCTATCTCCAGACTCAGTTTTGTTCCCCCTGCCCCTCATCCAACTAGGCCACTATTTTTAATTGCATGTGTTTTATACTCTTTTGGTTTTAAACCACATCCTATTTTCTCTCACGATACAGAAGCAGAGGGAGGTAATATGTATGAGTTATACCACAGAGTGAACTCAAGAAAGCATCCCATCACTACATGAAAGTACAGCAGAGGAGAGTACAGGGCAAGACAGTAAAGTGGAGAAGCAAAGATGGAATAGAATAGCAAACCTCAGGAGGGACAGAAGGGTGTGAGCTGCATCCCACAGTGAGGAGACATTTATGCCTGAGGATTACAGATGACTTTCTTAATTTGCTGTCCAGTAAACTCTCTCAGAAAGCTAGATCTCTGGAAGATATTAAATTCCTAGAGTTTTTATAGAAACTGATCTGTGGATTGTGAAGAAAGAATAGTCCCCAATGTTGTCCCATTTAAGGTCAGGCTGCTAAGTGAACTCAACACTTACCCTCTGCCTTTGGCCTCCTGGCTCGCAGTCAAAAGCATGTTGTTTCAAGCCAGTCACTCTTCATGCTGTCCCTTGCCCCTCAGAAATTATGTCACTTGCAAAGAAAACAGAATATGTTCTTGGGAATATGAAAATAAATATAAGAAGGGAGGATATGTGGGAGAAACTGGAGTTATAAGCGGACGCAGCTGGGACAAAGGAGAGAGACAAGGAGACAAAACTGATGGGGTTTTGCAGAGAAATCAGAACTCTGTTTGAGTCAGCTTCCAAACTTCCACTTATTAATTAGTGTATAAGTCTGAATGGGGGATGGGAATGAGAAATGTTGCTTTTGTATATTTAATGGTTATAAAAAACACTTGGACCTTCCAAAAAGATATTGCTTTTGGGAGACTGAGTAATGAGACCAAAGTTTTTTACAATAACAAGAATCTTTCCAATAGGTTCAGCTGGATTAGATTTGTCCAATTTTTATCATCATTCAATACTGTGTTAGAGATCTGTGCTCTTAGGAGCTCATGACTGAAAAAACAGATGTTGAGCTAAGATACAAAGAGAGAGAGAAAACAAATTATATGCATTTCTTTTTTTGCCTGGTTGTTTGCCAAGTATGTTAAATCAAGGTTCTTCAGTTGTGAGCTATTTGGAAAGGTGTTAATGATGAGAAGATATAAGCTTATTGAATCTCAAACCCTACTTCCCTCACAGATTAAAGTTCCTCCACCATTTAAAACTGAGTATACATGTTACTGTGTATATTCTTAAAACCAGTTAAAGTCCACAGTACTTAGGACCTTTGCTTTCGCTTTGTGCTGTCTGGAACAGCATGAGAAAGTTAAATGATGCTGTTGGGTTTTCACCAGATTTAAAGGTCACTATTGTACCATATATTCTTTCAATGAATCATAAAAATCATTGTAACTGCCTTTTTCTTGCTCTGTGTTTTCCAAAGTATTGCTGAACCTAAGCCACATCATTCAATTCCCTAAACTAATATAATTGTGTTTTGGCTGTATATTCTTCTCTACAGCAGATTGGTTTTGTACAGCTCTGTTCAACAAAATTTATCTTACCCATTTCAATACATTCAGGTCTGGAAGAACTGTTTAACAGTAACAGGATGACACACAAGGTAACAATCTACTGCCAAGCTGGAAATTTCAAAAGAAAATATGTCTACTGAATTCTGCTCTCTTACAGTTAATTACTGGTATTTAGTTACTTATGGTGAAAAAGGCACTGCAGGTTTATGGTTATTTGTGAGTTGCCAAGGGTGTCTGAAAGCCAGAGTATGTATTTACTAATCAAAGATATTCAAAAATGTTCAGCCCAAGGACGCCATGTTTAAAAATATTGGCCAATATGCACATAATCACGCGAGGATGGAAAGAATGCATTCTAACAAATCTTTAATCTCTAAAAAAAAATAACAATGATGCCAAGAAGATTTCTATGTAATCCAAATTCAGTTTGTTCTTGAAAATCTGTCCGGAAGGAGGGAACAAGATACAATTCACACTCATATCTCAGGCTTAAATAACCAGTTCTAATTGAAAGTTCTTATGTTAATTTACTTTCAAATTCTTTGACATAGAACAATTTTCAACTGATTGATGCACACAGAACAAAGGAAGCAGGTAAAGAACATGGAAATATTGGTTTGGGGAAAGTTAAAGTGTACATTTCTCATATGTGTCTGTCTGGGACAAAGGCAAAGAACCATATTTACAGCTCTCAAACTAACTCATTCTGTGAGGAGAAAAAGCATGCAAATGAAAACTCTATTTAGTGTGTGGGTACTGTCAGCACCAAAACTGATTTGAAAGTTTGCTCAGTGTCAGAAGAATGGCCTAAACTTTTCAAAGTCTGTAAAGTCTGTAAAGGTACAGACTTCTGAAGTTTGGTGATACGAAGCTTGCTGCTATAGTCAGCCCAGATCAGTAAAATAATTTAGATTATATGCTTCTCTTTCAGGTTTTGTCCATGCATCAGAAAAGCTAGCAGAGAGAACAAACTTATTCAAGAATAAATATGAAAAGGACTTTATACTCCTCTTTCCCTCTGTCACAGTAAATGCCCTTTATGACCTTATGTTTCAGACCACTGACACTGAAAGATTTAAAATATGGCACAGTCTAATCACCCAGAAGGTGTAACTTAGTGAGCTTCATCCTATGTTTTTTCTAATCATAACGTTAAATTTTGGGGGGTTATGTCTTTCAGACTTTTGGGTAAGTTGAAATGCTCAGGTAAAATTCGGATTTTCCATATCTTTCAATTTTTTACAAGGAATTACTTTTCTTAATAGTAGTTATTAGTTTTTCTGAAAGATGCCATGGCAAATACAGATATGCAAGGTGATGCCTGTGCAGGTAGTTCCTATCCAAATGGTGCAAAACCAGGGTCAGTTTGTAACTTTGTCTCCCAGAGGGTCTGGCAGCGTGAGAATGCTCACCACCCCCTGACCAGACCTGAGCCCTGGTGAAAAGAAAAAAAATCTTGTGTTTTTGAAGTGTGGAAGTAGTAATCTCTTTTTATCTGAGAGGGTACAGCTGGAAAATAGTAGGTCTCCTAGCAACCTGAGAGCAAATAAATCCACATCCTTTGCCCTGAAAGGAAGCTCAGGCTATAGGCTCTATCTAATATGCAGGAGATGTATGTAGATGCTTGCGTACAAAGGGAACAGGTTATGTTGGAGAATACTTCTAACCTGAACTTTATATTGAATTTTGCTCAACTGATTTGTTAGAGACCTGCCTGTGTTACTCCTTCAGATGGGCAGATGCTTCTGCATGCCTTGGGGTCTTGCTGGGGTCGCAGAACTACAGTGTCCTCTCAGGCACCAAATTTCACACACAGCTGACAAGATCCTGGAAGTACAGAGCAAAAGTGAAAATGCAACCAAGCTTTTTATTAATTGGGTATTATTTAGTTAGTTAGTTATTCCTACAGTTATCTGGAATAATTGAGGTGGGGGTTTTTTGGAGAAGGTATGACAGAGGTATGCTTTATGGTAACAAATCCTCAGAGCCAAAACTAACCCCTTCAAGGAAAGGATTATTTCTTCTTTCAAACACTACTCCTCCACCTTCCACACCCCTCTGCCAAAAATAATTTTGGAAGCAGTATCCTAAATGACCCTACATGCAGTACAAGCAATTTCAGATCTCAGCTGGCATCAGACCAGGTAGCTGGGAGATGTGCAAAGTAGATTTGTAGTCTTAGTGCTTTGTATATGTTAACACCTCTGCATATATTGTCCTTGAGACTTATGAGACTTAACTTTATTAGGCAATAGGGATATAAAAAATCTGCTGTTATACAGTGACTGCAAGAAATGGGGCCAGACATACACCTGCAGGTACATCGGGCTTTCATTGTCTGTTGCCTGTTATGACTTGTCTGCCAAAGTGCACTGTTTAGTTGCTCTATAATTCCGTATTTGTGTGGAGTTATTTCTTACTAGAAATACACTCTGACAGCTCTAGTAATAGTTCTACTACTGACTATAATATCTTAGCTTGTCATGTGGTCTTCTTTTACTTATTTACTTCTTTTTCTCAGGTATATTAAAACATGCTTGAGTAGATCATATTAGATTATCACTGAAGATAATTTTTGTATTCATCTCATGATCCCAAATTGAGAATATTAAGTAGCACAGCCAGATTGTGGAGTCTCCCTCCCTGAAGATCTTCAAAAACCATCTGGACATTATCCCGGGCAACCTGGTCTAGGTGGACATACTTGAACAAGGGATTGCAGTAGATGACATTCCAGAGGTCCTTTCCAGACTCAACCATTCTTTGATTCTGTTATAAAATTCAGATTCCATTTAGGTTTTATCTTTAGAAATACTTTGATATCTCATAGTGACACTTGTTAGGTAATTGCAGCAGCGATACAGCAAATAGTTGATTTTCAGCAAGAAGAGAGTTACATTCTACAGGCACATTGATTTCAATTTTCTGCGCCTAGTTCTTGTTTTAGCTAGTGAATGAGTACAATGTGTTCATCATGAATTTCAATGAAGAATTGAATGATATTATTTTAGAAAGTCTTTTCCAATTGCATTTATTTACCTAAACATCTAATTTATTCTGAGGTATTCTATCAGAAGTCTTTTTCTTTTTACATAATGACCATTCTAAAACATTCCATTTTTTTTCTCAATAGACTTAAATGTGCCAGTCATGTCTAGAATTTATACATCAGCTGTTTTTTATGGTTTTGTTTGTGTATGTTGTTTTTTGTTTTAAAATGTGAGTTATTGTTTATGTCAATCTATTCTTCCAGTGCTAGGCATGGATTTTTAGAAAAATAATGTAAATTGGCATAAATTTATTTTGTTCTACATACCACCTCCAAACAGAAAAAGAAATGGCTTATACTATTTTGTTTGTTTCCAACAACTTATAATTTTTAAAATTGTTTCATTTTGATAATTGTGCGTACGTATATTGTTATGTGTGTTTCATACTGAGATATACCAATATGTATTCATATGATGCTTATATGTACATATATGATACAATCATTGGAAGACAGTCATTTCATGTTGAGTATTTAGAATTAATTTTGCTATGTGTGCTAGAACAGCTGATTACAAACAAGGTGAAAGTCTGTGAAATCTGGTCTATGTGATTTCATGTTAATGACTTATCTTTATTTTGATGTCCTGTTCCTCATTAGAGAGACATGAACTTAGGACATCTCTTTGATTCTCTTCTGCTTGCTAGTCATGTCTATTGTCTATGCAAATCTCAATGGCAAATAGGAGGATATAAGGGCATTTGCGGGTTTCAACAGAGAATAAAGAGCAGACTTTGACTTCTTCAGGGGTTTGTTTGAAAGAGTCCCATGAGATAAAACCCTGGGTGAAAGAGAAGTCCGAGAATGCTGATGGGTATTCAAGGATCATCACCTCCAAGCTCAAGGGCAGTTCTATACGAATAAGCAGGAACGCTTATTTGTGAGGAGACTTGCATGGATGAACAAGGAGTTTCTGGCAAAATTCAAACACAAAAGGAAGCCTACAGAAAGCAGAAGCAGGGAGAGGTAACCCAGAAGGAATATGGAAACCCTCTCTGAGCATGCAGTGATGGGGATTAGGAATCCCAAAGCCCAACTGAAATGGAATCTGGTGAGGAATATCAAAGGCCAAAGAAGGGATTTTTATAAGTACCTAGGTGACAAAAGGAGAAGTAGGGAAAACACGGGCTATCTCTTGAATGGGGCAATTGTCCTGGTGACACAGGACGTGGAAAAGACTAAGGTATTGAAAGCCTTCTTTGCTTCAGTCTTTACTAGCAAGACCAACCTTCAGAAATGCCAGGCCCTGAAGACCAGGGCAAGAAGTTGAGATTCACAACAATGAACGGTTGGTTCACAAGATCACAGAATAACTGAATGTTTTTTTCTGTAGTTATGCAAGTAATTTTCCAGATATCTCAGGCATGTTTATAATTATCTACTAATGTAATGTCAAAGACATACATTTAAATCTGATGACAATGTTTTGTATTACTGGAATGGTATTTTTCAGTAGTGCCTGTCATAAGTCTGCAATAAGTTAGATCAATGCTTTCAGACTTTAGGTTTGACCTGTACCTTCAGTCTTGATCTACATTTTAGTTTGGGATTCATGATTATGCAGAGAGCAAATGTCTGCCTGGGCAAGAAGACTGAGGCACAGGCTGCTGCAGGGAAACCAGACTACACTCAGTCTTGACCCCAAAGTAGGGAAGGCTTATGCCTCCTTTAGACCACTCAGCCTTGAGCGGGAGTTCGTAATCAGACACAATTAATAAAAAGGGTAGTATACATCCTGGTACTCATATTTTTCCCCTTCACTGAATGGTTTTCCTTTTGCAACCCAGAAAGCATGACATTTATTCATTCTTTTTTGCTGCATGCTTAGTTTTGGGACTTAGCTAAGGATGGTTCTCTCAGTTTACAAGATAGTCTAATGCAAATTTTTGTTTGTTTGCACACTGCTTCCCCCATTCCCAGTACACATTCTGCTATCAAACAGGCAGACATCAATACCGTGTTTTGGTGTCTGAAGTGCAAGATCAGTAGCAGAACAGTCTGAGACCTTCCTATGCTGAATGCAGGCTAGGGAAAGGAAAACGTAAATTGAACAGGTAATGTTTTCCTAGAAAGCATCTTTTATTAACTGGACAAAAGGTGTCTCGGAAAAGTAGAAGTTTACTGTTGTTATCCTAATTTACTGATTTATTTCTTTATTTTTTTTCATTTGAAAAAAAAGGTCTCAGGATCCATTTCTGTTCTTTTTATTGACCAACAGACTGTCATGTGCAATTAGGACAAAAAGAGAAAAGAAAAAAAAGACTGCTCTTCCAGACCTAACCCTACAACCAGTGAAGAGAATGAGAGCATATAAAAATCGTATATGCCTCCTTCTTTTTTTGGAGAGAATGACAAACATTTGAGAGGTACTTCCTGTATATGTTTATTACTTGGTTTGAGCTTTTGATGAAGAAGCAATAAGAAACTTGGCACTGCTTTATTTTGGTATCTTAAATGCTGAATCCAGCTAGAACAAGTATTCATGAATGGCAGTTTTAGACAAGGACTTGCATATCTTTACTACAAAAGATCAATGGAAAGAAAATAATATCATATGTGAGGGTATGAAATTCTTTTAATTGGGAAGGTCACAACTGCCTAATCTTTTAAGCAGCAAAATGTCAAGAAATGTTCTGTGGAAGGATCTGGCGAAGACTTTGGTTCACTCCTTCCTGCAAGTGTAGTTTGTGTCAACAGATACCTCTATTTTGCCTTTTGCTCAAAGGGTTATGAGGGAAAGTTCAGAAAAAGGCCATTACATACAACTTCTAGGGAGGGGTTACAAGCTTAAATAATAGTGTCTAACTGATCAGAGTTTTAAGAAGAGAAAGAGTGGTGCTCCCTGTCTATAGTGTAGGAATGTAGTATAAATCATTGAACATATAGAAATGTTGGTAGTAGGTGGCCTGAGTTCTAGGTATTGTTTAGATTTTGTGAACTCATATCCATCCTTACCACCTTTAAAATTCACAGACTGACATTCAGGTACATCACTTTATCTAAACAGAAACTTAGGTAGAAATACGACTCTGTGAGTTGTACTCAAAAAGTCAAAAGTTACTTTAGAAAATTAGATTTTTGATTTTAAGACATTAAGAAACTCCACAAAAGTTTATGCCAAGCCTAGTGGCATACAATTGTAATTTCACTGAGCTCTGTGTCAGAAATACTTGTTACCTATCAGTTTTGTAACTAGAATTCTGCAGTCTTGCTGCTGAAAAGTAAAACCTTCATTAGTTCATGATGAATTCAGTCAAAAAGGATGTATCTTTCATGTCCTCTTACCATCTGAATTTTCAGTACTATTTTGATATTTGATATTGATATAAATTTTGATATTATTATATATCCTCTGGGGAAAATTATGATAACTGTCATATATTTTTGGATGAGACTAACAGCTTTCTTCCAGAGCTTTTAACAAACACTGGGATTGTAGGATAGGAGTTCTTGAACATAAAAGTGATTGTGTCTGACAACTATAAAGATGAGAAGATCTGAGACTCTTTATTTATCAAGGAGTCTCTGTGCTAAAACTGAAACCTTAAGATTTCTTTGAGGGTGTCTGCTTTGCCCCTACTGACATGTTCCACTTATAATAAATGTTTTCCTTTCAGGTACCTTTCCTGTCAGAGCCTAAAGCTGCAAGTGATTCCTGAGAATAGCTTTTGTTTTTTACAGCGGTGCTGTATTTCAGTGGGATTTTCTTTGCAAGAGGACTGGAAGAGAAGGTTGCAGAAACTGTGAGTCCTGGCTGTGCTCTAAACCTTGCCAGAGAAGGTAGCTTTTGAAGCTGGATTCCGAGGGACAGAAGAATCAGATTCCTTGTTGCTTTGGAGCCCTGCTCCAAGACTGATAGGTGCAGTTGGTATAGGAATGGTCTAGAAACGTTCTTTGTTATTTTAAATTCAGAAGTCTTTGTGCAGTGAATGTTAACATTGAGACTGAAGAAAATTTCATCACAAGGAAGAGAAGTCCGTGGTGCTTTGAAAGCACATATGAGGAAGAAAATATCTGATCAAGTTAGTGAGCAAGAAAAAATACTCTTTATCCTAATATCATTTTAAAATACTGGTAGCAAAAATGCTAATAAAGGTGTTACTGAGACACAGCATTGGGGTCTTTTATTCTGTGGATGCCACCTCTAATGATAGTCTCAGTACCCTGAAAGAGAGGAGAGTGCAGAATACATGCCTTTTTTCCCTTCAGATCTGTACAATTGGAATTCTCATTAAGGAGTGTCCAGAAAAAGAAGTAGGAAATGTTACAGGAGAAGGACAAAAATACACAGAAAAGATCCTTTGTGTTCTCTATTTCTCCCTTTTCTTTCTTTGTTCTTTTACTTCTGTCATTCCTTTAGAGAGGGAGGAACAAAATCAGTTGTAAACATACGTAAGTGGGGAATATTTTAATTTCTTTGGTAGAAAAGATGTACAGATAAAGAAAACCCACCTGTAGAGTGCACTGAAGTCACCATACAGTGACGGCGAGATGAGGGTTAAAGGGGCAAGTCCTCTGGCCTCTCCCAGCATTGGGGTTCCTGAAGCAAGAGAAGAGGGCCAACAACTCATAGTGGATCTAAGAAGAGGCTAATCCAGTTTCCACTGCAGGAGTAAGAAGGTAAATTGACACATTTCACCAACCTGCCACAGAGGTAGCATTCTTTTGGTCAGAGGAGCATGGAAAATTAGAAGCAGGAAAAACACCAAAGCAACACTACACTGGGGTTAATGAATGAAAATCCTAAACAAGAAAAGCAACATTTCTAAAGTAAAGCAAAATAGTTGAGAGACAGACAAATAACAGGATATGTCTGGTAGAACAAATAGATGAGGAGTCTACAGATATTTCCATGAGTCACCACTGGGCTACACATGGTAACCAAAATGGCACAGAGAAATGATTCAAGGAGATGCAAGGGAAGTGAATGCAGAAGAAATAAAAAGGAGGATAAAAGCGTTGCAAGGCTGAGGAGACAGGGAAATTGATGAGATGGAATGATGTCATGGAGACATACCTTTCTTGGCCAGACATGTGGAAAATTGAGGTACACAGATTATAGTTGTGCTTATGATCTGCTGCCAGCAACTGCTTGTTTACAGCACTGAGGGTTAAGATGACAGCTGTACCTTAATATGACAGGAAACTTTATTTCACAGTAAGTCTGATTGGTCTGGCAAGGAATCATGTCTGGTAGCTGTGGAGGTCTGAAGAGACTTTTTAAATCTAGTACAAATTTGAAAACAACTGAAGTGGAAAAAGAATATATCTTTCTTTTTCAGATTTATGATACTGAAAAAGAAATATCATTTTTTCTGAGAATCATTGCTAGATGCTGGCGGAAGCAAACAAAATCAAATGCACAACTTGGAAATCAAAGCATATTTTAAAATGAAGGATTTATTTTTATCCTTACCAGGAGTAAAAAACTGGAATGAACCTGAGCCTACTCTTACCATGTAAGTGTCTGACATGAAATAAACACTTTTCTGATTTAATGGCTATCCCCATGGCAATAGCAGAGGATCTTACAGGCTGAAGACTGAAAGGGTTGAATAGATGAGAAGGAAGCACAGTAGATCCTGACACAGCCCAAAGTACAGCATGTATCTTCAGAACTGAGCTGTGAAGGATACATGTAGAAGGAACATTCTCTGTATTTCCAGGGTTTATCAGTAATATGAGATAGGAATACACTGCAAGTCAGGTAAGGGCAAAAAGAACCCTTGTTAGTTTTAGAAACACTGGGGTTACTGTGCCTGGAGCATTAAAGGTCCATTATTTACTGGTTGTTTAAAAGTTTTATTAACTCCTCTTTAGTACCATTTACAATTTTATTATTCTATGATTTTCTATTCCATGGCTCAAACACAACCCTGGATAGTTACCAGGATAAACTAGAAAGCCAACAGGAGCTGTGCCTATTTGTTCCAGGGTTGAAAGGAGCTCTCTAGTTGTAGCTTTAAGCTGAATAACCCTTGCAAACCTGCTGCAGAACTTTATATGAATTACTGTTTGTTTGTTTGTTTGTCTATTTCAGTTCTGAAATAAAGCAAGGAGTGAGAAATAAAAATGTTATTGACACCAACCAAATTCTAAGTTCTTATTTTGGCAAGAATAAAAAACTAATGTTCTGACACAGAATGTTCCAATTTGGCACAAACAAAACCATTAGGTATTTGAAAGAAAAGCCAAAGAAATAAAGTATTAGTTTCATAAAATATGATGTGGCAAATTCATGTCTTAGCTCCATAGGGTCAGGGATCAGATTTCTCACCCATGTTAGGACTGGCTGAATTCTTTCCCATCCTACATGCCCCAAATCCTTGCAGAGCATCCCACTCTCCAGCATAGTAGGACAGTTCTATGTTGAGCTTTCTGTTTAATCCCTGTTGATATTCTTACATTCAATTAGGGGAAAAAAAAGATAAATATATATTCTTTATATCACAGTGTGAGGGCAAATTGTTTGCTTGGTTTACACCAAGGTAAGAGGGCAGGTTTCAGTTCCCTCAAGCAGAAAATGGAATTGAATTTACATCTCTAGTTCCCTGCATATTCCTGAAAACTCCTGGAAAATTCTGATTCTTGACGCCTTGTTTGACTGGGCAACAACATTCTTTTTTATTTTAATCCATTTGTGTGTGTGTGTGTCTGATTCTTAAAGCAAACAAACCAACCCACTTAAAATCTTTCAATACAGCTGAACTGAATTTGTTATTTAAATTCAGGTAGACCGAAATTCTAGTTTCACCAATTATTCATCACTAGGAAAAAAAAAATCTACCCAGCTAGTGTTGAGAGGGAATAAATTCTGCCCAGATGATCTTTACAATCTCCCCAAACTCAAATTCATTGGAAACACCCTTGTCTTGACATCTCCTTCACCTCCAAAGTCCTTTGCACAATAAAAATAGGAAAGAGGAGATCATGGTTTTCTTCTTCCATAAACAAAATATTCTCTTGACTCATTTATGTTTTCTGATCCTTTTAGCCCTTACACTCTTAATAAAGCTAGAGGGTACTACCTTGCCATTGTGTCAAGGGGAGGATTGTGGCAAGATGTCGTGTGTTTTGAAATCACTGGACCGTCCTAAATATACATAAATTTATAAACCAAATGGCTGAAGCTATAATTGTTCCTACCTTCCTCCACAGTTAGCTCAGATAGTTGCACATTCAAATTTAAAGGCAGAGGCTGAAAACAAGACAATCATTTTTGATAGTGCTATATGGCATCTTTGAAAACCTCAGTGGAAAGGGCCATTCCTGCGCAATACACGGTTGCACAGATCACTATGAACATTTATTTTAAATTGCAAGGCAGGATCTGAAAAGAGCGCTTAGAAGTCAGAGTGATCAATTTATTTCAGATGGCCTTTGGTTTGTGAAGATTTTTCACTGAAAGCAGCTGAGCTAGAGGAGAAAGCACGAATAGCTACCTTTGCAATCTTTCTGTGACAGTGCCTAAATATTATGCATAAAGATAATAAGGCTACAAAGTCAAGAAGTCTAATGGAAAAAAAAAGCAAATTCACAGAGTTATAGGATGATCCAGGTGGGAAGAGACTCCAGGAGGTTGGTAATCCAAACTCTTATTCAAAGCAAGGTCAATTAGGAGGTCAGACCAAGTTGCTCATGGTTTTATCCAGGTGGGTCCTGAAAATGTGCAGTCCCAGAAACCTGCCCCATTGTTCGACAGTCCTTACAGTGTTAAAATTTCTCTTTCTGTGCACTCTGAGCACTTTCCGGTTGCAATTTAGGTTCATTCTCTCTCATCCTGCCTGTCTCTGTCTTCTTGATGAACTTGTCATATGTCCTTGAAGGCTGCTTATAGGACCCCCCTAAGACTTTTCCTATTCAACTTTGGGAAACTTAATTAAAGTTTTCTCCACAACTTTATTTTAGTTTCCTCTTGTATATGCATATAGTCTGTGCTATCATGGAGTCTCTAATTACCTTATCAACGTCATTCTTTGTTAAGATTTCATCCTCATTTACCTAATAGAATGGATAGCATCCTACTTAAAGGGCAACAACTTATTAAATTTTTATTCTGGATTGTTCATCATGTGTCCTTATTCGTTGTTTACAACACACTCTTAAAATTAACCCCCTAAGGAGGTTTTTCTCAGTATCATTAATTCCATCACAGTTTTCTATTAGTGTTGACTCTAAGACTTGTGTGGGAATTGGAATTTGCATTACATGCAATTGCATAGAACAGTCCTGTATTTTTAATTTCTGATTTAGAAAACAAAGGAAAATGTTCCCACAAAATATTTTCAAATTAGAGTTTACATGGAACAGCTCAGACTGAGCAAAGCTGTTATATTAATAAATGTTGTTACATGATTTGATTTCACAATGTCATAATTTCAAATACCAGGTGGGCTGAAAGTTTATTATGCTTATTTTAGAAGGAGGAAATTGAAGCACAGAACAAGAAAGTTTTAGGACAACTATATATTTTGTATGTCTAGACTGAAACAGCTGAGAACATTGTTAAAAAGAGAGTTGAGAGAATTTTAGAGTCCTGAGCCCTTGAACTCTTCCAAATAAAGAGATGAACACTTGTGAACCTTAAGGAGACTATAACGCTCTAGAAAGAAAATGAAAGGGACTTAAGTTTTTTCTGAGGGTCTACACAGGGACAAGCATCTTGACTTAATTATATTTCCAATCTGTACTGGAGAACAGAGTGCAGCTCATACATCTGCTGAGAGGATAATTGCCAAAAGTTGATTCTCTCCTTACAAGTCCAGTACATAACTAAAAATAAGTGACGGTTTTCTGATTTGGTTAGTCTGCTCCAAGACACAGCAGGTTTTGGAGGAGAGCACACAGAGGAGGCCAGCATCTGTGCCCAGAACACAGATCCACATCCTCTGCAGTGGTGGGTGACGTGGCAGGGCACAGACTCTGGCTCCCCACGACTATCTACCCCTGACACATCAGAGACCTTGGACCAGACTTAGTTCCTAAGGATGGATGCAACTCTGCCTCTGGGGGATGTAGAGACACCAGAGGCCTTTCACCAAGGGCCCAGTTTAGACATGCTTCTTGCCTGCAGCACATGGGTGCTGGGGAGAGGCCAAGCTGCCAACTGAGGGAGCTGGAGAGAGTCCACAGGTTTCACAGCATCAGAGACGGCAAGCAGGAGATTGACTGGAGCTTTTCCAAAACCCAGCAGGTGCCAGAGTCTGAAACTCCAGCTACATCAACAGAGGGCAAGGCAGAGTCCATGAGATGAGTGGGAAATTCTGGAGTGAAAGAGACTTACCTATCAAGAAGGGTGATCTACATTAGGAGGCATTTAAACAAATTGGACATGTACAAATCCAGGGGACCTGACAGGATGTTGAAGGAGTTGCCTGATGTCATTGTGAGGCCACACTGGATTACCTTTGAAAGGTCATAGTGATCAGGGATGAGGCTCCTGAGGACTGGATGAAAGCAAATGCCACTGCTGTCTTCAAGAAGGGCAAGAAGAAGGATCAAGAACTACAGGCCTGCCAACTTCAGCATGGCTCCTGGGAATATCTTGGAGCAACTAATACTGGAAATCACATCTAAGCATCCAGGGCAAGACAGTGTTTTGGAATAGTCACTGTGCATTTACAAAGGGGAAATCATTCCCAACCATCTGAGAGCTTGCTATGATGGCCAACTCAGTGGATGAAGGGAGAGCAGTGGATGCTGTTTGTCTTGCCTCTGGCAATGCTTTTGACTCTTCCTCTCATAACATCCTAACAGACAAACTGAGGATGTATAGATCAGATAGGTGGACAGTGAGGTAAACTGGAAAACTGAAAAAGCCCTGTGCTGGAAAGGTTATGATCTGTCTGTGACATAAAACCCATCTGGAGGGCCATCACTAGTAAAATACCCTACAGGTCAATACCGAGGACAGTGCTGTTCAACATCTTCATTAACAATGAGGATGATGGAGCAGAGTACATCCTGGGCAAATTTGCACATGATATAAAACTGGGAGGAGTGGCTGAAGTATCAAATGGATGTGTTACCTTTCAGAAGGAACTTGGTAGGCTGGAAAAAATGTCCAGTGGTTACCACATGAGGTTCAACAAAGGGAAAGGTCAAGTCCTGCCCCTACAGAGGAATTACCCCATATGCCAGTAGGGATACACCTCCATGCTTAGGGCCAATGGATTGGAAAACCGTTTGGTAGAGAAAAGCACTGAATATCTTGGTGGACACCAATTTGAGCATAAGCCAACAACGCATCCTTGCAGCAAAGAGGGCCAAAACCATCCTGGGCTTCATGGTGGGGAACACAACCATGAGGCTGAGGGAAATGATCCTTCCCCTCTACATGCTCTGGTGAGACACATCCAGAGTGCTGGATTAAAGCCTGGGCTCACCTGTACAGCAGAGACATGGGCATACTGTATCAAGTCCATCAAAAGGCCACAACAATGATGAAGGGAGTGAGACACATACAAGAAGAGACTGAGAAATTTGGGATTGTTCAGCCTGGAGAAGAAAAGGCTCAGGGAAATCTTACCCATGTATATAAATATGTGAGGAGAGTGAGTAAAGATGGAGCCTGACTCTTAATGGTATTCAGTGACAGGACAAGATGAAATGGGCACAAAAAGAAATAAGGGAAATGTCAAGTTCTTCGTCTGTAGAGGTGTTCAAAACCCAGCTGGACACAATCCCAGGGAACAGGCTACAGGTGATACTGCCTTCCAGACTCAAATGGTCTGTGACTCTGTGATTCTATGACTTTTTCCTCCCTAAATCAGAATTTCAATAAACTCTCTACAAACAACATGAGTGGAGCTTGCTTTCATTACAGCTCTTTCCTTTTGTCCCCCTTTTAAAATACACTCAGAAACCTCTTGTTTGTGGTTTTTTGTGTCTTCATGGATTTTGTGGAGTATATTTGTGGAATATATTCTGAATATATTCTCCATGTATTCTAAAGCATAGATTGTGGACACTACCATTACTCAGGACTGTGTGGAATTATGCTCAGGTTAAAGTAAGGTGTATATATAGTCCACAGTCCCATCTGCATTCTCACTAACAGATGGTGAGAAAAGGGTATCATAAGGTCATGCTTCCCTTGCTGTACCTTTACTGCATAAACTTCCTGCAACCTGGCAGTGGTCAGTGTTTTTATCTGTGTCTTTAGTGTTTTTAATGGTCTTTTCACCCATGCATTTATCAAAGTCTATTTGAACCAATTTATATTTCTGGATTCCCTAACATCCTGCAGCAATGTTTTTGACTGTATCTGTTTGCTTAGATTAATTTATATATTCCTGTGTTGTGACTAGTGAATAATCAGTCCCTCTTCACATTCTCCATGGTGCTTATGATTTCATGCACTCTTAGAACATTCACCTAAGGAATCTTTCTTTATTAAAGAATGCTAATCTATCTACCTATAAAGCAGTTGTTTCATACTTCTACTTATCTTTGCCACCTTCCACTCTCCTTATTCTATTACACATGTCCATGGCTGAGAATACAGGACCGTATGTGATGCTAAAGATATGGATGGACAGTAGCATTATATTTTTTCTTCTGTCTTTTTTTTCTTTGATTCTTTCCCTTTTCTAATAATGTGTAATATTTTGGTTTACCTTCGGAGCAGACATCACCCTAGAATGATCCACAATGCTTCCATGATCCATTTCCTGAGATGCAATAACTGATTAAGATAGAGCCTTTCAGTAGATAATGTCTAGGTAGAGTTCTTTTTCTCCATGTGTTTACATTCATCTGCATTAAAACTTATCTGCAATTTTCAATTTTGGTAAACCTGTGGCTTTCCAACAGCAATACCCCAGCTATGTTAGGCAGTGCTACATTCACTCTTTCTGGCTTTGCTGTGCTTTCATTCTGCTACATCATCATGATGTGTTTGTGGCCTGTCTGCAGCTGCCTTCTTCACAGTAAATCATTGGTGGTCATGTTTTTGGTGGTAAATCATTTCTTTATCATATTTATCAATCATGAGTAACAATCTCATCAGAAGATATAGTTCTTGCTATCCCAATGCTATTGCGATGCCATTTGAAAGAATTGCATTACAAACCATATGAATTTTTTGTGTGTTTGTTTGTTTTTTTCCAAAAATTTCCATGCCTAATATCAGTGTACAGCACTGAAGATATCTTATTTAAGTATTCTGCAGGGGGAAAAAAAGTCCTTCATTACTGATATTCTTACTTTAAGTGAATAATATTTAACACAGATGCATGTCAATCTCTGTATCTTTATAGGTACTATAAAGATAGGTACTAAATTTTCGTTAATTTTTCCAGCTACTTAGGCTAGAGGTAATTTGAGTTAGTCAATTAAAAGTCAAATTTCACTGCGAACACATGCCTATTGAGAAGCATGCTGTAGTCAGTCCAGGGATACTATATGCCACAAAAATAGATTTATATGATCATTTGTTCAAGTATGTCTAGTATTGTAATCTCAGGGAAGGCAAAACTACTATAAAAAAGTCTCATCATAAACAAATACTATATTTTTACCTGTGATTCCTTAATGGGCCATGTCTTCTTATATCACAAGCACTGGTTCTTTCAGACATCTTGCTGTATATATATTCTTTGTAATTTTTTTAAGTAAAATAGCCTTAATGAAAGGAATTGTTCTTTTTAGGTCAACATTAAAGTTTTGCCCTAACCGTAGATTTTTGATTCTGTAAATCATCCTTATAGTGATTCTTTGAAGCATTTCTTTTCTTTTCTATAATATCTTGGCAATCATTATCTTGATGGTTTCCAATAAAATCCCAACACTACTGAAAGCCATCCCTTATAATGAGTTCTAGGAATACACTGTTCTGATTCTCCAGGGCTATTTTTTGTAGGATCTTGTTCCTAACAATTGTGCCAGGAATAATAGCCCTCATTTTCACCTGAAACCAGACCACATTTTTAATCAGATCCACAGGACATAACATACCTCTTGACTTAGCTTCATTTCACTGTCAAAATGCTCTGAGTGTGTCTGCAACCACTAATTCTTTCCCCACTTGATGTTCAATTTGCAAAGAATATATTTGTAGCTGAAAAAACAAACTCTATTCTTAGCAGCAGCAGAATGGTTTGCCAGACGCCTTTTGACACTGTCAACGTGTGGTTTACAGTCAGTGTCAGCTAATAGTGGCCTCCCATAAATAAAAACATGAAACATTTTTCACTCATGGACTGAGACCAAAGCCATATTCTTTATTTCCATTTATTGGAAGCTTGGTTTTTGTTTGTTCCTATGATGATTATTCTATTGGGGTTTTAAGTTTTGACCACATTGTAAAGGATTGTGCAATGCTTTTCTTAGAGCCCTCAGTGAACAAACTTGTTTTGCATTTATCATCATAGCAACTTACCACTGAAATCTCATCAACCACTCTAATTTCTTCCCTTTTTTAAGGGCCAGAATAGGTGTTTTGTCTCTATCAGGATATCAATTTACTACAGCCTGGCTCAAGGAGCACAGAAAAAAAATAACCTGTATTGACCATTTCTCTAAATATTCCCCTCGTTTCTAGGTAAGAGAGTTTTAGTGTAACTGTATAGCTTTTTGGAGTTGATATCTAAATGAAGGGTCCTTTTCGTGCACTGAATTGCATGTGCCTGGACATTAGTTGATTCTCCTTTTTCCTGCACTGTTCTGAAGCAAAGAGTCTACTTCCTTACCTTCTTGCCCCAGACTTAGAGGGTTTTGTGGAATTGCTGGCATTTTTCAAGTGTAGAACATAGAAGATAGATGTGAACTTCCTTTTCCCCTGATTAGAATCTTGGAACATGTTTGACACAGCTGGTTTCCTTGTCATCTCCAGTGAATGCATCTGTTGAATGAAACGAAGGGTTTTGGCATGTTTCTAATGTGGTCTTTTTCTCCAGTACTATTAAAGGAACATCTTTTCCATACTATGTAAAATGGAGTATAAATACATGACACAGGAAAAACCTGGAAAAAGATAATGAAAAGATATTACTATCATACCCTTCCTTTTGCTTTTTTCACACACACAAGTGTACAAAATTGATACCAGTGAAGCAATTAGAAAATCTGCTGCTAAGACACAGTGAAGCAGGCTGCAGACATGCAACAGGAGAGTAGCACATGGCAAGAGGGGATGGGCAGCAAAGCCAAAAAGCCGAAAGCTGGCTGGTGAGTGAGCTAAGTAGGAAGTAGAATGGGCCAATCCTGGGGAAGGGCAGTGATGCCCCAAGGCATCATTAGTGATATTCTTACTTTAAGTAAAAGGGACACAAACACTGAGCTCTCTGATGCTACCCTGATTACAACTGCCATTGGATTATGGCAGTTTGTTTTCTTCTGTCCATAAGGTTATTGGTTGTTTTTTTTTCCTTAGAGCAAATGTTTGATTTTGGCATCACTTTGGTTTCTCCTCTTCTGACCATATGAGATGTAATGTTTCCCATTAGTTCTCAGGCTGACTGTTCATTTGTCATCTGCTGCATCATTGCCCTATGGGGCCCTTTGAGCTACTAGTAGGGTGGTGTTTGTTGTTCCTTCTCTGTGCATGTACCACAGAAATGCGTGTCCAAGATTTGTATCTTTTTTTTCTATATGCTTGGCATTGACAGTGCAGTTTGGCAAAGAATAAGCAGGGGGTTTTGTATTACTTCCTTGTGGAAGTTTATTTTGAGCTCTTGTATACTTTTCTATCCTGGTTAGCTATTTTCACATATCTTCCTGGGCTTAGATGTCCATGCCTAATGCATTTATTCTGGACAAGTAGGCTCCTTTCCTTGAGAAAATCTGATGGTTCTGTCCAAAGGTTAATTTAGGGAACTCCACAACAGTTTTCAAGTGTTCTGTCTTGCATCTAATTCTAAATTTATCATTTAATATGTGATTTTGTTAGTGCCACATACCTTCCAAGCCACAACCTTCAGCTGCCAGGCTTTGTTCAACTACTTTTACTTTTTAATTCTTAGTGTGTCGAAAACTGCTTCTCCTAAGTTTCATCTTCATATGGATATAAAGAAAAGAAACAGCAGAGGAAAAGTTCAAGGTGAAATGATGCAAAATCAACAGCTACACTATTGTTTCTGTAACACAGTGTGTAAAATGAGCATGGTACTCTACTGTACTGACAGCACAAAATTTTAGTTTTCCTGATTTTTATTCTATTACTATTGCTCAGATTTTCCTAAAATTATCAATTTTAGAAAGTTCAAAACAGAGGAACTTCAGCCTCCAGACTCTGAAATCTATGAAAAAATACATGTACCAAGAAAGCACCGATTTTTAGTAGAAACTGTTTCAGTCTTGTAGGTGTTCCAGCATCGACAGGTATCTGCTGTCTCTTTTTACTGTCCCTTAAAAATTATATTTCAATAAACTTCCTTGTCTAAGACTGCAAACAGGAAATAAAATTAAACTTTGACCTGCCAAATGATGTTGTTGAAAGAATATGTTCCCAGTATGTGAACATGAAAAGAACATATTTGTTGCCTGCTTTCTCTTCCAATGCTAACCTGAATGACCCGCTCCTCAGCATCTTAGCAGAGAACGTGAATCAGCTTCTACTTCTGAAGAGCAGTCATATGTTTTCCATCACTCAGCACCACAGTTTGCCACTCCATAAAGCTAAGCCTGCTGACTTGAAATATGGAGTCATAGAATGGTTTGGGTTGGAAGGAACCTTTAAAGACCTCTAGTCCAACTCCCTCCCCACCATGGGCAGAGACATCTTTCAATAGATCACGTTGCTCAAGACCCAATCCAACATGACCTGGAACATGTCCAATGATCATAGAATCAAAGAATGGTTTGGGTTGGAAAGGGACTTTGAAAATCATCTGGTTCTGTTGTGGGTTTACTCTAGTGGGATTCAACCCCCCCCAAAAATTGCTAAAAGGTGAGAGAGGTTAACACAGGCAAGACAGACTCGACATGAGGAAAATATCAAAATTTATTGCTAACACTTTTTAACCACCCCTCAGCCCCCTGAATCAATGCAGAAGAAGAACTGTCAGGGCGTAGCTAAAGGATCTCTTCATCGGGGTGGGGGCTGTCTCTGCACCCCCTGATGGTCCTTCATGGACTGTGGGGAGACAACCCGCTCCACCATGATCTTCACCACGGGTTACAGGGAGTTAAAGCTCTGAGTCCTTTCCCTGCTACGTGGGGTCCCTCTCAGGGGAGTAAGTTCTCAAGGGACTCCTCCAAGTCAGGTCCACTCCTCTCCCTGGTTGCAGATTCTGGGGTTCGGCTCAGTCTCTATACTCTGATAGTTTTCATTAAAGTCCTACCCAGAAAAACCTGCTTCAGTGTAGCTTCTCTTTCTCTCTCTCTCTTCAAGTCATAATCTTGAGCGGCGGCGGTAGTTGCACTGGCTGTGCTCCTCCTCTCCACTCTGCTCTGCTCCCCTCCCGGGTGAGGGTGCACTCCAGCCCACCCGGCTTGCTGTGGCTCCCTCTGCCCCAGTGTCCTGGGTCGGACTGGACACAGAGGAATGACTGGGCTCTCTGCCCGCCGCTGCCTCACTCCAAGTTGCTGCAGGAGTCCGACCTGCTCAGTTGCAGGTTCAGCCAACCTGCCACCGCCTCTCCCCTGCCATGGTGGGGGAGGGGGTAAGGCCAGCTGAAAAGCCCCCGGGCAGCTCTTCTCTCCTCTCTGGAATTTCTTCTGCGCTCTGCTGCACATCCCAGCCTGGGCCAGCCTGGCTCCAGCGCCATGCCTGCCCCCCGGGCCCAGCGGCTCCCTCTGCTCCTCTTCTGGGTCCAATTTCTTCTGCGCAATAAGCTTCTCTTCCGTTCTCCCTAAATACGTAATTCGCAGAGGCGTTACTAAAGCTTCTAATGGGCTCAGCACCAGGAAGTCCACCTGGAACTAACTATCTTCAGTTCCAAGGGGCTAGTAAATCCACAACAGGTTCCAACCCACTGCCATGGGCAGGGACACCTTCAACTAGACCAGGTTGCTCAGAGACCCATCCAACCTGACACTGAACACCTCCAGGGCTGAGGCATCCACAACTTCCCTTGGCAACCTGTTCCAGTGCTTCACCAACCTCACAACAAAGAATTTTTCCCTAATATCTAATAATCTAAACCAACTTTCTTTCAACTTGAATCCATTCTCCCTTGTCCTGTCTCTACGTGCTCTTGTTAACACTCTTGCCCCATCTTTCCTGTAAGCTCCTTTCAGGTACTGTAAGGAAATGATGGGGCACCCAAAGCTTTTCTGAGCAAGATATATGCTTCCGTTCTTACGCTAAAGACATTCATATTTAATTTTTATTGGTGCTTCGTCATGCTCTCAGTAAAGCAACTCTTCTTCAGACTGGGAGTGTTTCTTCAGAGGAGTGCTCAAGCGTAGGTCAGTTCTCCCACAGGGACCCACAAACACAGCTTTCATACAGGACCCCTCCACTGTCACCAAAATCTTCCTCTGGCTTTTGCAGAAAAACAGGTGTTGAACAACACTAGAAGCAGGAACTACTCTGCCTCTCCACTCCACCTATTAGTAGAGAAAAACCTTCCTACCACGAGTCTAACCACTAAATAAGGACTTTCCAACCTGATACCTGTTACCACTATGAATTCCATGTTCTACAAGCATCCTCCCAGCTTCCTTGGGTGTGATGTTCAGCAATTGCAGCACCCTGCATGCCAGAGCCCTCCCTAGCACGTGCAGGTCTGGGACTGTCATTGCACGCCAGGGCTACATTGTAGGCAGTGCCAGCTGAGAGCTCTGGGCACAGATGGTTCCCAGACACTGTGTCCTACGCACAGGTATGGCTGAAAGGCCTCTTTTTTTTGTTTTTAATCGTTACTTGAGTTTTATACATAAATGAAGATTAGCCTCAAATGATGGGGAGCTAGAAATTAACTGTAGCATGATTTTAAACTAGTGAAATATCTTGTGTAGATCTATATCTTAAAACAACATTTGATATGTATAATTTTGAGTCAGGCAGCTCACCAAGAATTCTTTTTTTCCCAGAATTTAAATCCATTTTTCTTTGTTTACAGTGAAAATATTCTACATTCCCCAAGTAAGTGCGAAAAGCTACTCTGACTATAAAGCCTTGCAGTGGCAGCTTTTTCTTTTCTGTCACTTCTAGCAGTTAGAGAGTCTTATTTATGACTTTAATATAAATTTCTTCCCTAGTGTATTTGTCATTGAGGTCTTGTCGAAACTTCTGTTGTAAGTCATAAAAGTTCTTTATTCCCAAAGGCATTATTCTGTATCAGAATTTTGTCTTTTTTATCCTTAAAAATGAAACTTAAGGTTTCCTTGATAGTGTGTATTAATACTCTCCATCTTTAGAATTTTTTTTAGTGTCTCTTAGATTTTATGCATGTGCTTTACTTTAAACTTAGAATGAACACAAAGAGATTCTAGTTTGTCTGAGACACTGGTGGGATGGACAAGGAACGATGTGTGCCCCTCATTTATCAAACTTTGGGCTGGAGACAGAGAATGATACCTAAGTACAAGCTGCTAAAGTAATTTGAAATATCAGATGGCTCAGATAACTCAAATGTCCTAAGGCATTTCAAGCCTACCACCCTTGAAATGTTACTAAAAGCCTGTGTTGAGGTAACTTCCTTGGGATTCCCACCCCAAGGAAGCAGGATTAAGACACCTGAAGTTAGGTAGCTAAACATAGGTGTTTACATGTGAGCTGAGTGCCAAGCTTGCATTATAATCAACAGGGCTCAATACAAACTGGCAGCTGGAGGCACACTGAGGCCGCACATCACTGCACATTTATTTTTAACTTTCATAAAGAGTATGCAATGTTGCTTGTATGTCACACTGGGGTCACAAGAAATCACTCCTCAGCCAGAGGTGTGCCAAAGGCACTGCACAGTTGTACTCTTTTCAAATAAAGTGGATTTTCATGGGCATGCGTGTGCTGGGTACCGGGTCGGCTGTAAAATTAGCCAGAGCCGTACGAAAGCTTTGCACTCACAGCCCACC